TCAGTGGCAGAACTGGACTGGAGTGCAGGTGTGCAGGATGGGAGGGCAGGTAAGGAGCAGGGTAGTGGGGTCACCTCCTGGTTGACAAACTCTTGTGTATCTGAGGATACACACACTGACACAGACACACATACATATTGGATACACACATACACAGGTACACACTGACACTGAAGGGTCCAGAGAGACTGGCGGGGAGTTGCACACTGACAGGTAGAGCCAAATCCTGACTCTCAATGTAGCAGGGCTCCTTTGTTAAAGCATCACTTACATAAACCCTGAGTTGCTGGAAGGGAAGCCAGTTGGGAGGGGCAGGGCTGGTTTAGTGTTTCCTGAGCCTTCTGGGTCACTTTGACCAGGCTTGACATCCCAGTGAGGTACTTGGCCATCTGGTGCCCAAATCCCACTCCACTGGCTCACCGAGGGTGGGTGGAGCCTGAGCCAGTGTGAGTCAAGGGACAGAGAGAAACTCTCGGACCAGGGCTAGGTGCTCCAGGACCAGCCCCCTTAAGGGCTAAGTCCCTTACATTCAGTCACATGGGACCATCAGAATTTTTGAATGGAAGTGGTATTATGGGAAATTCAGCACAGCTAATCAACATCCATCCTGGCACAAGAATTCGGACAAGATGAGAATGTAGTGAAACTGATGGAAAAGTTCATTTGGGGAAAAAAGTATGGGCTGGGTGCTGGTGGCTCAAGTCTGTAATCCTAGCTGCTCAATAGGTAGAGATCTAAGAATTGAGAATTGAAGCCAGCCCAGGGCAGAAAGTCCATGAGACACTTTTTTTTTTTGGGGGGGGGTCCGGTCGTGGGGCCTGAACTCTGGGCGCTGTCCCTCAGCTCTTCAGCTCAAGGCTAGCACTCTACCACTTGAGCCACAGCGTCACTTCTGGCTTTTTTTTCCTGCTTATGTGGTGCTGAGAAATCGAACCCAGGGCCTCATACATGCAAGGCAAGCGCTCTACCACTGAGCCACCTTCCCAGCCCCTCCATGAGACTCTTAACTCCAATTAATCAGCAAAAAGCTGGAGTTAGAGGTGTGGCTCAAGTTGTAGAGTACCAGTCTTGAGTGAGAAAGCTAAGGGACAGCATCTAGGCCCTGAGTTCAAGTCCCAGTACTGGCATACACCAAACAAAAGGAGAGAGGGAGAGAGAGAGACAGAGAGAAAGAGAGAGTGGGGGGGGAAGAGAGAAAGAGAGAGATTACTTGACATGATGCCACAGAAAGATGGTCATCTTCAGCCATCTTCAGGGTATGGGCATGAGCATTAGAAGAGAGGCAGGGGTCCAAGTTATGCATAGTCTGGTTGAGTCCCAGTTACTACTGTGGCCTGCCTGGTCATCATTTAATTATTCTTCTCCTGTGCTCTGGAGAAGTTTTTGTTGTTGTTGTTGGGTATGGAGCTTGAACTCGGCCTGGGTGCTGTCCCTGAGCTCTTTTGCTCAAGGCTAGTGCTCTACCGCCACAGCTCCACTTTGTTTCTGAGTAGTTAATTGGAGGTGAGTTTCAAGGGGACTTTTCTGACTGAGCTGGCTTTGAACTGCAATACTCAAATCTCAGCCTCCTGAGTAGCTAGGATTACAGACATGAGCTACTGGTGCCCAGCTGGAGTAGTTTTTTTTTTTTTTTTTGGGTCCGGTCGTGGGGCCTGAACTCTGGGCCTGGGTACTGTCCCTCAGCTCTTCAGCTGAAGGCTAGCGCTCTACCACTTGAGCCACAGCGCCACTTCTGGCTTTTTTCTTTTTGCTTATGTGGTGCTGAGGAATCGAACCCAGGGCCTCATGCATGCAAGGCAAGCACTCTACCACTGAGCCACCTTCCCAGCCCTAGTTTTTTTTTTTTTTCAATTGTTATCATTACTTGAAAGAGCAATCTGGTCTCATGAGGTGACTTCTCTAGCTTCAGGGTACATCCTGTTAAAGTATCCTCATTTGGGGTGATCAGTCCTGTAAGGCTCTAGTCCTTGGCATAAAGATACTATGGATGTTTTTATTTTTTATTGGAATCTAAGGTGATTGCATAGTGCTCACACAAGGAACGGCTTACAGCAAAGTCAGACATGGAATGGAGGTAGAGATGCCAGGAATTTCTCTTGCTTTTAATTAATTTATGGCAGCAAAACCAACTTAAGTCCCTGTTACAGACAATAGATTGAAAATGGATTGTCTCTAGAGTGAGAACAGCATCTGCCTTGGGGGGGGGGGTCTGTGTATTTATTGAGATTGCTTGTGAGAAAGAACTATCCCCAGAGACAGTCTACAGGGCTGAGATTACCTATGAGTTGGGAAGTTTAATTACAATATTTTATCTCAGAGCCCTTGTGATCTCACCTTCCATTTCAGTCCTCTCTCCTTTTTTTTTTTTGTGCCAGTCTTGGGGCTTGAACTCAGGTCCCGGAAGCTGTCCCTGAGCTTTTGTGCTCAAGGGTAGGGCTTTAGCACTGAGTTACAGCTCTACTTCTATTTTTTTGGGGGGTCCGGTCATGGGGCCTGAACTCTGGGCCTGGGTGCTGTCCCTCAGCTCTTCTGCTCAAAGCTAGCGCTCTACCACTTGAGCCACAGCGCCACTTCCGGCTTTTTTTTTCTTTTTGCTTATGTGGTACTGAGGAATCGAACCCAGGGCCTTAAGCATGCAAGGCAAGCGCTCTACCACTGAGCCACCTTCCCAGCCCTCTACTTCTATTTTTTTGGTAGTAAATAGGAGATAAGAGCCTCACAGAGTTCCCTTCCTGGGTTGGATTGGAACTGCAATCCTTAAATCTCAGCTTCCTAAAGAGCTAGGATTACAGGCGTGAGCCACCAGTTCCCCTTTGTATTTCCCATCAATCAGGGCTGGTTGCTACCTGGACCCTGAGGTGAGGAGGAAATGGAACAGGAGCAGTGTGGTGATGGTAGGAAGACTTTACCAAGTACTTTGCATGCCAGGCAATGCACTATGAGCACTCTCCCTTCCTGTCTTCACCACAGGCCTAGACAATCAATACCACTATTGTAGCAGCATACAAAAGGGGAAACAAAGTCAGTTGTAGCAAAGCAACCCCCTCACCCAGGCCCTGTCAGTCAGGAAGTGGCCGTGCTGGTCTCAGGATTCAGGAGCAGTTTTATCAGTCAGGTATTAGTGCAGTATCACTGTGTAACAATCCCTCTCCCCACTGGCTGACAGCAAGTGTTTATGTTCATGCTTATGGGTCAGCAGGGTGAGTGGTACTGGGTGATTGACTCCAGGCTGCATAGCTCTGCTGTGCTTGCAAGCCAGCTAGTCTCCTCACAGGCTTGTTCTGGGTGCAGGCTACAGGTACTGTGGTCACTTGGGATATGTGCTCCTCCTGGAGGTCTCTAGAGTACAGATGCCACACCAACCCCACTGGTGCATCTAAAGCCTCAGAATGAGGTCAGGTGCCATTGGTGCACACCTAAAATTCTAGCTGCACAGGAGGCTGAGATCTGAGGATCGTGGTTTAAAGTCAGCCTGGGCAGGAAAGTCTGGGAGACTATTACCTTCAATTAACTACTCCAAAGCTAGAATTGAATGTATGTTTAAAGTAGAGGAAAGCTAGCCATGTGCAAAATAAAAGCTAAGGAACAGCAACCAGACCCTGAATTTAAGCCCCAGTAGTGGCACCAAGAAAAAAAAAAAGTGTTGAGCTGGGTGCTGGCAGCTAATGCCTGCAATCCTAGCTATAGAGGAGGCTGAGATATGAGGATCGAGGTTTGAAGACAGTCCGGGAAGGGAAGTCTGAGACTCTTAGCTCCAATTAACCACCAGGAAATCTGATGTGGAGTTGTGGATCAAAATGGCAGAGTGCTAGCCTTGAGCAAAAAAGCTCAGGGACAGGGCTCAACCCTGAGTTCAAGATGTTGCTCAAATCTGCAGCCTTTAAACGGATGCCTGTAATCCCAGCCACTAGGGGTGGCCCCAGAGAGGCAGAGGCAGGAAGCCATGTGCACTCCCATCCTCCTTCCTTCCTTCCTCCTTCCTTCCTTCCTTCCCTTCTTTTTCTTTTTATGCTGCCACTGGGGCTTAAACTCAGGTCCTGGGCACTGTCCCTTGGCTTTATTGCCCAAGGCTAGTGCTCTAGCACTTGAGCCACAGCTCCACTTACCACTTTGTAGTGGTTAACTGAAAATAACCATGATCCTCAGATCTCAGCCTCCTTAGTAGCTAGGATTACAGGCTTGAGCCACCTGTGCCCAGCTCTACTTTTTTAAGCTCCCATTTCCCTCCAACTCATCCACCTCTATCACTACTCAGAGCTCACCAGTGTTTTCTTCACTCCCAAACTTCCCCCAATGCTGCCTTTGCACATGTCATCCCCTCTTCCTAGTTTACCATACCCTGGACATCTCCTCTGAACATCCTAGGACAGTGTCCCCTGACATAACCTGATCGACTTCCCGTCGTTCCCATCACAATGCTTATTTCTTTCCATCTACATTGGAGACATGGAGGCAGGGGTCTGGCATTGCTGTTTGTAGTACCCTTAAGTTTACAGATATGCCCAACAAACACTTGGGTGTGAACGAACGAGAGAATGGATGATCGAGTGAGGACAGGGTCACTGGCTGAACGAAAGGTCTTGTGGGCCGCAGGGCAGGAGCTCAGCTTTGCGGGCCAGAAGCTGCACCTCAGCCTGCACTACCCTAATGCGAATTTCAGAAGGGGGCAGAGGGCACTGCCTGCGGCAAAATCCGTGACTGCCGGGGGTGGATCGGGAAGCCAGATTCTATCCCAACTCCGACAGCCCAGGGATAGGAGGCCAAAAGAATTAGGTGGGAGAGTGAGTCCGAGGGACACTGCCATTCGGCCACCTCGCAACCTGCGGGTTCTCCCGCGACCGGCACTGGGACTTGTAGTCCTCGGTTTCTGGACCTGCTAGTGTGGGCCCCGCGAGGAAGGGAATGGGGAACTACATTTCCCAGAAGGCCAAGAGGAACTGGAGTCACAGAGAAAGCGTTCCGATCGGCTGCGCTTCCCCAGCGCGATGGAGCCGACTCTGGGGCCGAGTGGCAGCGCGAGTTACCCGCGCGGTACCTCCTGAGTGGCCCATCGGGCGGAAGGAACTGCAGACCGGGTCGCCGAGCTATGATCAGCTCGGTGGCGGGGCCAGACTGCTGCGGAGGCCTCGGCAATATCGATTTTAGGCAGGTACTGGTTATGCGGATGCCTGGGTGTGTATACCCAGAGAGGAAGGGGTAAGACCGGCCGAGTGCGACAGGCCCCGCCCACCAAGCGTTGGAGGCGGGACCACTCTGTTGCCCGGCAACGGGGCGTGGTGTGCCCTGGAACTCCCCATTGAAGTCGTGTGTGTGTGTGTGTGTGTGCATGCGCGTGCGTGAGCGCGCGCGCACGCTGGTGGGTATCTGGGATTTTTGCATGTGAGTGAGGAATTGGGTGGTTACAGTTGCTCTGGGAGTGTGTGTGACTGCGTGTGCAATGAAGGAGGCTGAGCTGGCATAATTAGGGACATGCTGTGTGGATGTGTGGGAGCCCTCTAGGCCTTCTGTGTTTGCACTTGGTAACTTTATTTATTATGAACACTCAAAGCGAACAGCCCCTGGAGCCTCCCTGAGGACCCTGCCTTGGAAGGATGATCTTGTCTCTAGAGCTGATGGAATCTTTAGCATTTTCTGCCCTCCATGGTGTTAAAGGAAACGCTAGACCCAAATGATCAGCATTAAGGCTGTGACTCTTGTTTCCCTTCCTTCCTTTCTTTTCTTCCTCCTCCTCCTCTTCCTTCTTCTCCTTCCTCTTCCTCTTCCTCCTCCTCTTCTTCTTCCTCTTCTTCCTCCTCCTAGTTGTTGGTTGTGGGGCTTGAACTCTGTGCCTGGACGCTGTCCCTCAGCTCTTGAGCTCAAGGCTAGCGCTCTACCACTTGAGCTACAGCGCCACTTCTGGTTTTCTGGTGGTTTATTGGAGATAAGAGTCTCACAGTCTTTCCTGTCTGGGCTGGCTTTGAACTGCGATCCTCAGATCTCAGCCTCCTGAGTAGCTAGGATTACAGGCGTGAGCCACCAGCACCCATCTTTTCTTCCTTCTTTTTCATTGTCCATCTTGGGTTTTGAACTTAGGGCCTGGGCCCTGCCCCTGAACTCTTTTGCTCAAGCATGCTATCACTTTGAGCCCAGCACCACTTCTGGTTTTCTAGTGGTTAATTGGAAACAAGAGTCTCATGGACTGCCCTGGACTGGCTTTGACCTGTGATCCTTACAGCCTCCTGAATAGCTAAGATTACAGGTGTGAGCCACCAGCGCCCAGCTTCCTTTTGTCTTTCTTTCCTTTATCTCTTCTTTTTTCCCCTTCGATTCCCTTCCCTCCCCTCTCCTCTCTGCCCCTCCCCTCTTTTCCGAATTCCTTCCCTCCTTTTTCCTCCCCTCCTCTCTTCTTCCCTCTCCTGAGCCAGTCCGTATGACACACGTTTTCTATCTTAGTACCTCACATATGGAAAAAGCCCTGGCTTGGAAGGGTAGGTCACCTTGAATTTGGGTGTGAGGAGGAAGAATGGAAGTGGACAGAGCCACCAGCACCATCAGAGGATTATTGGCCTGTCCCTGGGTACTAGGAACTAGGACTTCCATAGGCCTAAAACCAAGAAATGAGAAGTGCAGGTGGTGAATGGGAAGGTTACCTGCTGTGTGGTGAGGGCTTTCCTGCTTGCTCTTCCCATTTAGAACCTGGCAACAGGACAGCTGGAGGACATAGTTTAAGATGACCCTTGTTGGCTAACATTGTTTTTCCACTGCTGTCCTATTCCAAGAGATCCCTTCCTTCCTTTCTTTTCTTTTTTTTTTTTTTACCCCCTCTTCTTTTCTTTCTTCAGTACTGTGTGGCACAGCTAAGGTCATTTTCTCTTTTTTTTGCTCAAGGCTGACACCCTACCACAACTCAATTTCCATCTTTTTTGGTGATTAATTAGAGATAAGAGTCCTTTCTTTCTAAACAACAAGAAGAGCTGAGTACCTGTGACTCCCACTTGTATTCCTACCTACTCAGGAGGCTGAGATCTAAGGATCACAGTTCAAAGCCAGCCTGGGCAGGAAAGTCTGTGAGACTCTTATCTCCAATAAACTTCTAAAAGCCAGAAGTGGACTTCTGACTCAAGTGGTAGTCAGCCTGGACATAACAGTTTCCAGACCTGCCTGGGTCCAGTGGCTCACCCCTGTAATCCTAGCTAATTTAGGAGGCTGAAATAAGACAATTGCAGTTTGAAGCCAGCTGGGCAGGAAAGTTGGTAAGATCACCAAACAGCTGGCAGTAGAGCTGAAGGCTTACATGGTAAACCTTGAGCAAAAAGGATAAGAGAAAGTGCCCTCTGCTGTCCCACACTCTGAGTTCAAATCCTGGTATTGGCACACACATACACACACACACACACACACAAAGATTTCCACACTCTATCCCAATGGATGCCATGGTTGGACACAGTGGCAGGTACCTGTCATCCCCAGTGACCCAGGGAAATACAAATAGAATTAGAAGCCAGGCCAGCCTGGCCATAAAGTGAGACTCTACCTTGTAAATAATCAACAGAAAAAGAGACTGGAGGTGTGATTCAAGTGGTAGAATGCCTACCTGACTAGCTCCCCACAAACAAAAATCTAAAAGAAAAGAAACCCAATAACATCAATATATAACCTTATATACACAATTTGTGCAGTCGTTCTTGTCTAAAAAACAAAACAAAACAAAACAAAAAAAACCTCTGGGTTTTGACCAGGTGCTTGTGGCTCATGCTTATAGATAGAGCCAGGATTGCAGTTTGAAGCCAGTCGGGGCAGATAAATCCAAGAGACACTCATCTCCAATTAACCAGAAGTGGAGGTGTGGGCTCCAATGGTAGAGAGCCAGCCTTGAATATAAAAGCTAAGGGACTGCACTCAGGCTTTGGGTTTCTGAGTCTAAGATATGTCAATTTCTGAGTTTCAGGACTTTTTTTTAAATGTTAATTGAAGATAAAGAGTCTCATGGACCTTCCTACCCAGGCTGGCTTTGAACTTGTATCCTCAGTTCTCAGCCTCCTATGTAGTTAGGATTACAGGCATGAGCCACCAGCTCCTTTTTAGTTTAAAACATATATAGATATATTTTATGGTCAGTCATGGTGCCTAAACTCTAGGCCTGGGTGCTGTCCCTGAACTCTTCAGCTCAAGGTAGCTTGCTCGCTACCACTGGAGCCACAGAACCACTTCTGGTTTTTTTTCTGCTTATGTGGTGCTGAGGAATTGAACCCAGGGCCTCATGCATGCAAGGCAAGCACTCTACCACTGAGCCAACTTCCCTGCCCAGTTCAAAATATTTTTAAATTTCTCTTGAAACTTTCTGTTGGTCTAGTGTATGAATTTCTCATTCAATTCTGCTGTGGTTTGAGAATATCCTTTGCATTCTATTCTCAATTTAAGACATGCTTTATGGTAGAGAAGGTGATTTCTCTTTGGTGAATGGACCACCTTTCTACCATAGGCATGCAGTATCAGTTAGGCTGAGTAGTTGAGGACTTGCTTGAATCAACTGTGCCCTGGGTTAGTTTTTCCTATTTGCATCTACTCATTACTGAAGGAGAAGTGTCAAAGCCCCAAGTTAGATGTATGGGTTTATTTCACCTTTACCATTTTGTTTTGTTTGTGCCAATACTGGGGCTTGAAGTCAGGGCCTCCTGCTCTCACTTTGCCTTTTCACTTAAGTCTAGCACTCCAGTAGACTTAAGTGGAACCATAGCTCTACTTCTGTGAGACATAACTTTGAGATGACAAATCTGAGACTGATTTTGAATCCCAATCCTCAAATCTCAGCCTTTCAGCTCACAAGTGTGAGCCATCAGTGCCTGGCTTTCATCATTTTGTTCTCAGTTTTAGAATTTTTTTTTTTTTACAAGATGGGATGACTGTGTTGTTCAGGCTGGATTTAATTCTTGGGCTCAAGTGATTTCCTGCCTGAACTTCCAAAGTGCTGGGACTACAGGCTACAGGCCCTGCACCTGACTGGCCACACCTGTTTTTGATTCATGCTTCAGCCTTACGGGTGTGTGTGTGTGTGTGTGTGTGTGTGCGTGTGTGTGCGTGTGTGTGCGTGTGTGTGCGTGTGTGTGTGTGCGTGGGTAGGTACACGCATACACACATGCATGTCTGTACTAGGGCTTGAATTCTGGGCTTTGAATTCTCTTGGCTGGCCCTACCCCTTGAGCCACACTTTTGGTCTCCAGCCTCAGCTTTTAATCTGAAAGGTGGAAAACCTCAGTGGGTCATTGTTCAGAGTTAAGATGGGCCCAGCATGGCTGGACGCCAGACCCCATGCCTGGTACTTTCCTGCTTTCATCTCCTTTGATCTGAAGGCATCTTCAGCATAGATGTTATTCCTGACTCACAGATACCTGGTGAGATTTGCCTGCTATGGTGCCCTGTCCCATGACCACGCCATCCTGCCATATCACATCCTATGCCAGGCTTGGCAGGTGGTTGATGTGTGTTTGAGTGGAGGCCACTGGGCTATTGTACTAGACTGCAACATGTAGTATATGGTTAGATATGTGTGGGGAACACCATCCACATGGGTTCTGCTGGGCCCTGAAAGATGCATCTGCTGAGATGGGTTGGCGGCTCCAGTGCAGAAGCTGCTCATGGGGGGAGGTCAAGTTCCACCCATGTGTCCTACCCTAAATACTGTGTGGGCACCTTGTGAGGAGCCAGGATCTGGGAGAGCCATTTGTACTCCCCCAGGGCACATTGTTGAATAATGAATGAAGGACTCAATATGCCTACCTTCCTGAGATGAGAGTTGTAGAGAGTTACACGCCAGCAAAACAGTGGCCATTTCTAGTTTTTATTTTATTTTATTTTTTGGGGGGGAGTGCCTCATGCATGCTTGGCATCTACTATTGAGTTATACCACAGGTCTAAAACTTGTTTTTGTTTTCCTTCCTTCCTTCCTTCCTTCCTTCCTTCCTTCCTTCCCTCCTTCCTTCCTTCCTTCCTTCCTTTCTTCCTTCCTTCCTTCCTTGCTATCTTTTTCTTCTGCATACCAGTACTGGGGCTTGAACTCATGGATTGGGAAACATCCTTTAGCTTTTTCTCTCATTGCTGGTTCTCTACCACTTGAGTCACAGGTCCACTTCTGGCTTTTGGGTGGTTAATTGGTAAAACGATGCTCAAGGA